TCTGAAGAAAAAGCACGAAGCTTTCGAGTCGGATCTTGCTGCTCATCAGGATCGCGTAGAACAGATAGCTGCTATCGCTCAAGAGCTCAAGTATGTGGTTAATTCGTGATGATTCTGTGAGAGCCAATAAAATCTTTCCTTAGAAGGAATATGAATCATACCTTTTTTTTTCTTTTTTCAGTACTTTGGAATATCACGATAGCGCGTCCGTTAATGCTAGGTGTCAACGAATTTGCGATCAATGGGATCGTTTGGGTACTCTTACCCAACGCAGGCGTCAAGCGCTAGACGAAGCTGAACGTATTCTTGAAAAGATTGACGTTCTGCATTTGGAATTTGCCAAGCGAGCTGCTGTGAGTTCATTTTATCATTTTGCCACATTTTCTTGTATATTAAATGTGTACATAAAATGTATATATATTTTATATATATAAATATATAATAAAATATAAATATATATAAAATATATATACATTTTATATATACATTTAATATATATAAAATATATATACATTTACCACATTTTCTTGTATATTAAATGTATATATAAAATGTATATATATTTTATATATACATTTAATATATAAGAAAATGTATATATATTTTATATATATAAATATATATAAAAAATATATAAATATATATAATATATAAATATATATAAAATGTATATATAAAATGTATTTAATTGTTATTGTATATTATTCAGCCATTTAATAACTGGTTGGACGGAACCAGGGAAGATTTAGTGGATATGTTTATCGTCCATACGATGGAGGAAATTCAAGGATTGATGGATGCTCACGCAGCGTTTAAAGCAACTCTTGGGGAAGCTGACAAGGAATACAACGCTATTGTGGGATTAGTGCGTGAAGTTGAATCAATAGTCAAACAATTCCAAATCCCTGGAGGCCTTGAGAATCCGTACACCACCCTTACTGCTTTGGATCTTACGAAGAAATGGAGTGATGTCAGGCAACTTGTACCTCAACGTGATGGTACCCTTCAAGCGGAGCTTCGTAAACAGCAGAACAACGAATTGCTTCGACGACAATTTGCCGAGAAGGCTAACGCGGTTGGGCCTTGGATAGAACGCCAATTGGACGCAGTTACAGCTATTGGCCTCGGTCTTCAGGGTACTCTGGAAGATCAACTGCATCGTTTGAAGGAATATGAACAGGCGGTCTATCAGTACAAAGTTCATCTTGAAGAGCTCGAGAAGATTCATCAAGCTGTTCAAGAGGGTATGATATTTGAAAACCGATACACTCAATACACTATGGAGACGTTACGCGTTGGATGGGAACAATTACTCACTTCTATAAATCGTAATATCAATGAG